CAAAATATTTTTCTGCTGTTGCTTAACATCAGTTTGCAAAAAGATCAGGAGCTTCATAGCTCCTGAGATCAGGACTTTTTTACAGTGCTTTATCAACCCCATGCCACCCAGGAGAGTCAGAATAAACACTGTTATCCTTGGGAAAATTAGGGTAGCGGGTCAACTGAGGAAAATTAAAAGTCAGACAGTGTTAGAGGCAGATACTCTGATCCTGAGCTTGTATGTCCCTCCTCCACATCCACCTCCAGGCCTTCCCACCACCCACATAAATCTCTGGAGGCTCTGGAATAGCAGCCTCCCTGCGAGCTCTTTGCTAGTCAACCCATTTGCAGGATGGGTCAAGGACAGTCTCTGGAGGAGAGCACAACATTCCTGACACTCAGATGAGACTCATCCTGCCTAAACTGAGAAATTTACAGTGTTGATACCTACACCTGAGGTAGTGCCTCCAAAATCCCTTCCCAGTTAATGGCCCAGCCAAAAGGGAGTTGAGACAAACTGGCTCAGACAACCTGGAGTCAGGTAAAAGCTACCCCAGCCCAAATCTGTATGTTATGAAATACTAAAGGTACCTGCCTTTAAAACAGGAAAGTATTCTAAGTGAGTGAAACGAAAAGAAAGTGAAGAATTAATTAACTAAATAGAGGTGATTAAAGTAAATAAAGGAAACAATTATCATATCAAAATAAAAGACAAGAAAGATGATTAAATGAGTCTTCAAAAGACCTGTGAGAAATTCATGAAAGGCATAATATGCATTTACCTGGTTTTTATTCTTTCATGATTTCATTTTCATTTTTATTCACTACCATCTGATAATTGCAAGAAACAGTTACTTTAACCATGGGCAATTTAAACCATTTTAATTTTTTTCCAGGGCCAAGAGACAAAAGAACCTATTTATTGCCTGAGGGGATTTTTACTAAAATGAAAGCTTAATCTTTCATGTTTTTTTAAGCAAAGGCTTTTAAAAAATCATTTCTAACAATGCTGTAGGGAGAGACTTCCATGGGTATGCAAAATTGAAATTATAAATTTACAGTTATGAAAAAATTAATAGTTTGGGGGATTGCATTGTCTCTGTTCTTTCTGAATGAATACTGTTTCAAGCTTAAGAGAAAGTATTTAGCACATGGAGAATGAGTGTCCTTAGACTCTCTTGCGGTCAAAGCTATTTAGTAAGAACGTACGAGAGAAAGATCATTGGAGTTTAATTTGTTTGGAAATATATGACTGTATGAACCTTGAAGAAGGAGTTTCATACAGATTCAACAGTCACTATTAGATGCCCAATATTTTTCTCCTCTTTTTGAATATATTGCAATTAGAAGCCAGCAACAAGACTTGACATCCTCAAATATCAGATGCCCTGTTGGTTCCTCACTTCCTGGCCTGTTTTTCTGTGCTGCCAATGCACTGAAGTTGGTCTTGACCATCATCCCTCCAAAATAGTTTGATGCACTGAAGATTGCTAAATCTTACCTATGTAAAATTAAACTGCAAGATGAATTTTAACTGAAGTAACCACCTTTTGAGGCTCTTATGACACGTGACTACAAAGGACAGAACAAGAGCTCTTGGGCAAAGGTTGATTCAGAAGAGATCTTCAGGAGAGATCTAGCTATATCTGGGTAGAAACATGGATATGATTTATGTGGCTGCTGTGGTTTAAGGCATATTAGAAGTACATGCTCATGCCCATCCCCGTTGCATGCAGTATTTTAGCTTTAACAGCATCAAGAAAAGGATTAAATTTAAACATGTACCTTTGCACTCTCCTAAATTTGGGCAGTTTTCTGAACTGAGAAATATTAATTTAATGCATTATCTGGAGAGACGCAAACGTTCTTCCTGGGCTTAGTGCAGGCTTTGAAATCAGACAAAATAATTTACACTTATGAAACACAACAAACTGAAGTGTTCTATTAAAAGAAAACTAGACCAAAAAAATACCCTCAAGGCCTCCAAATATGCACACATTGAAAGGCAGATTTAAATGTTTTCTGGCAATGTATTTCAAGTTTTAATGGAAATACTTTGAGCTACTATGAAAAGCTTTATCGAACTAAATTCATTCTCCATAGAGCAGAGAAGAATCATTGAAGATATTATTCAGGTTTACAAAATATTTAATAGGGTGGAGAATGTGGAACCAGATAAGAAAGGTTAAACTGAAGGACATTTTAACAAGGCTTGATTTTAGGGTGGTTGTGCAACATAAATAGGTCAATGGACCTATTAGATATAGACTTTGACACGTATTAGAAGTCTAATATTAGAAGCACTTGTGTACAGCTACTATCTATAAGAATTTCAAAAGCAATTGTCATTCTGAATACACTATTTCAAAGGCTAAAATGTCCTGAATTTTTTGAAAATAACACATCTTCAATGTCTGGAAAAAAATCTTGCTATCTGCTCTACAGTATGACTCTGAGCAACACTAAGCTCTAGTTGTCCCAAAGAAGTATCTGCCCAGCGCAGCTGAAGCACCTTTCTAACCACATGCCTCTGCAGACTTGGACATCAGATGAAACCACCTTCCAGGTACTCAAGGAGCCTTGAGACCAGGTTAAAAGAGGGAACAGCAAGTCAGCCAGGCTGGATAAAAAGATTGTGTTGGAGAGGGAGAGAGGAAAATGTGGACCTTAAGGATGAACCTGAGTCCTGTGCTAACATGGGGGTACTGGTTGACAGCCGGCTAAATATGAGTCAGCAGTGTGCCCAGGTGGCCAAGAAGGCCAATGGCATCCTGGCTTGTATCAGGAATAGTGTGGCCAGCAGGAGTAGGGAAGTGATCGTGCCCCTGTACTTGGCACTGGTGAGGCCGCACCTCGAATGCTGTGTTCAGTTGTGGGCCCCTCACTACAGGAAAGACGTTGCGTTGCTGGAACATGTCCAGAGGAGAGCAACAAAGCTGGTGAGGGGTCTGGAGCCCAAGGCTGATGGGGAGCGGCTGAGGGAACTGGGGGTCTTCAGCCTGGAGAAGAGGAGGCTGAGGGGAGACCTGATCGCCCTCTACAACTGCCTGACAGGAGAGGGGAGCCAAGTGGGAGCTGGTCTCTTCTCCCTGGTAACGGGCAATAGGATGAGAGGAAATGGCCTCAAGTTGCGCCAGAGCAGGTTTACACTGGACATTAGGAAAAATTTTTTCACTGAAAGGGTTGTTAAGCATTGGAACGGGCTGCCCAGGGAAGTGGTGGAGTCCCCATCCCTGGAGGTATTTAAAAGCTGGGCAGATGAGGTGCTTAGGGACATGGTTTAGTGGTGGGATGGCAGTGTTAGGTTAACAGTTGGACTTGATGATCTTAAAGGTCTTTTCCAACCTAAATGATTCTATGATTCTTTGGCAGGACAAAGAGCATGACAGAAACATGCTGCTGCCTGAGGTTCTGGTGCCACGTTGCTGCAGAGCAGCAATGATAAGGGAAGTTCACTTCCAGCCCCTCTGCACTGCAGTGCAGTATGCTGGGTGGCCCTGAGAAGTCTTGTCAGTACGGCTCAAGAAATGCTGAGCATGCTTTGGGAGGACAGGCGACTCAGACATTTAACAGCTAAACTGCAGAGATATTACAGAGCGTGCATGAAATGCAACATTTCCTCTCCTATAAATGGGTGACATTTAGACAGGAGTAGCACAGACACTGACAGTGAGACTAGGCTTTTGCAAAGTGCTAAACCCCAGCTCCAGAGGGGAGAGATTGCTCAGGTTTAAAAACAAATAATATATCAGCAAACCAAAATTATTTTCACCCAATCTGCTTCTCAGCGATGTTGTGAATGAATATTATTTTTAGGGCGAGATGAAGCTCACATCAGAAACAGGAAAATGCTGCACAAACTTAGTATTAGCCAAGCTGCCTTCCATTTAACCTCTCCCCCAGACTAACAATAAAACTGTAATATACTGGGAAGCGTTGGCCAGCTTTAACACCCGGCACCACGCTCGGTCCCAATTCTATTGTGCAACGAGGACTGTTTTCCTTACTGATGAGCTCAAACCGTCTGCCATGAATTACTTTTTCATGGGGAATAAATACACACTTAAACAAGATTAAACACAAATGTTCTTTAGCGGTGTCTAAAATAATATGAATGTTTTTTAGAACAGCAATAAACACACTTCATGATGCAAATAATTACACCCTGCAGCCTTTATGTAAAGACAAGTGGCCAGATTCTTGACTCAGCTACATCACTGTAAATCCAGAGTAACTACACTGAATCAACATCTCTCTCCAATGGATTCTGGAGATGCTGAAGTGTTACTGAACTCTGGATTTGCCCTGATTTGCCTCCATGGTTTTGCAGACATGGGACACGCACAGATGAAAGTACATGGTGGTCATGGAAGCACCACCACTTCTTATCCTGTCCCTTACTCCCGCATAAATTTCTCTTCTGCTTAGCATAATGAAGTCAGAATCTGGCTGTGTATTCCTTGGGCATCTGATATCACTCCTGTAACCGTACTCTCAGTTAGGACCAGAAGAAAGCTCAGCTTGAGGCTACAGCAAGGAAAAGAGAAGGAACAAAAAGAGAGAAAGACTTCACAGAAATTCAAGATGGGTGAAGGCAACATGTGCATGATGTGCTGGGATTCAAAGATCTGTCTCAGGAATTAAGAAGAACCACCTTGGCTGATCTTTCTGTAGGATGGGAAGGATTGGCTTGTGTTTTGAATTCTTTCTGAAAAGTATGATTTCGCTTAAGTTTCCCATGCAATTGTAATTGTCCTGTAGAGTTGTGTAAGATGGGTCCATTAGGCTTTAATGGCCCCTGAAATGAGTCTGGAAAGGTGAACATGCCCACACTGGACCACTTGAAAAATTAGTTATTTGCTTAAATATAACAGCAACAAAAATGTATTCAGCTATTAAAAGGGTCTCTGGAAATTATATGAGCACGGAACTGAGATACAACATGGAATCACTGTCTTAACTATCATCTTCCCGTTTCTTCTCATTTTTGTATTTTGAAAGCAATCACACTGCTCTTACCGGGACTTGTGAGGGCTCCCAGAGCACCAGTCGTTGTGGAGAGAGGATTTGCATTGGTGGTGGTAGCTGAGGTTTGGGCGGCGGCTGCTGCGGCTGCTAAAGTTGCCAAATTCTGTAATTGTAAAGCGTTCATGCCTGCATGAAGAAGCAATAGGGTTAATTAAAACATGTAATTAAAAAATAAAAAAAAAAGCTATTTTCCATGGACATGGAGCTTTGGATGTACCTTGCCAAGAGATTCAATTCTTCTTTTCATTCCCAAGATATCTATAATCTAGGAACCACTCCTTAGAGTCCCTGAATAGCATCTCTCACCTCTTTACCTTGGAGTTGAGAGAATACAGCAAAGGCACCTGCCTATAGTTCAGGAAAATTAAATCTGGTTTGTGCCACTTCTCTAGGGGAAGTGTAGAATTAAAAGTCATTTAAACTCTGTGTGAAGCCCAGGCGCAACACTATTTCCTGACACAACAGGAGGTGTAAAGAAGATAACTAATGTTTAAAACATGTTTAGGACAGGGTCATACAATTGTGATGAATCAGTTTGTTTCCCATGTCTCCTCTGAATGTATCTACTAAGGCTATAATGTTCAGTACGCAGTAATTGTGCTGATTTTCCTTTTGATGGTTCATTTCTAAAACCACATTGAACTAAGAACATCAAATTAGTACCAGTGTGATCACAAAGCCATCACTGAGGTAGGCCATAAGCTCTGGACTGTGATATCAAGTCTACTCATCAAGTCACCTGTCACTTCATTGTTTTAGAAGATGTGGGGGAGATAAACCCGCATTTCAATGAGGACCTTCAAGAAATGTATGCATTTAAAAAAGTGAAGGCTTTAATTTAGGTGTCAAGTAAAAAAGGACAAACAATATACAGAATTTATGTGAAATGGAAAAAAAAGATGATTAAGGAACAGCAAATGGCATTCATTTGACTTGAATCAGAGGGACAGAAGTCTGCTTCTCTAGAGGCCTTCAAAAGCACCTACCTTTTACCTTGGACTACACAAAGTACTTGGGCACTTACTCTAAGGTGAACTGCTTCAGTAAGAGACTAAAATGCAGGTACAAGTTAGGTGCTAGCAACCTACCTTTTACCTTGGACTACACAAAGTACTTACTCTAAGGCGAACTGCTTCAGTAAGAGACTAAAATGTAGGTACAAGTTAGGTGCTAGCGTTAACCAGACTGGCTCTTTCTCAGGATCCTCTGAATAAGATACACTGTCCACAGGGGGAGCAATGGTCAAACTGGGCATCTACATACAGACGTGAGAGAGATTGTTTGGATGGCAATGAGAGTTCATCCTTTTCGGTTTGGATGAATGAGGAAGGTCTGTGCATGCTGCTTGAGCCCTCAATAGAACTGACAAAGTGCACAACCCCCCCCTCCAAAAAATACTAAACCAGTTTCATAATGATCTTGTAGTCCTGATAATATAAGTACACACAAAATGTTAGGTGGTAGGAAGAGCAATACCTTTTTTAGACCAAGTGATAGAACTGGGAAGACTGTATGAGTTTTGGGGAACACCCAAAGAAGAGCTTGAGTGCCTGAAAACCTGTCCAATTTTTCTGAACGTTAGTTTGTCTAACAAGAGATGTTACTTCCTCAAACGAAGGGAACTTAATAACAACTTGGAGAAGATGAAAAAAAAGAGGTTAAACACAATGCTTTGCAAGTATGTTTGAGAAGAAAAAAATTGCAATGAAGGAGAGGTATTTTCTAGGAATTGAGAACTCTTGCAATAATTGAGTGATATTACTTTCAAATGCATATATTGCAGATGCAGGTTGGTAAAATCAACAAGCCCCATAAAGAGGTATTCTCACTGTCCTAGCATTAGGAACTCTGAGGTGAGCCTCATCTATTTGAGAATAAATCCCCAAATTTAAATACGGCATGTTCCAACAGGCAGGTCAGGTCTCAGGTGAGCACCTAGCATGCATGGCTGAGGTTCTAATTTCTGTGGTGAACCTGCTTTAGCAGGAGGGTTGGACTAGATGATCTCCCAAGGTCCCTTCCAACTCTTGCCATTCTGTGATTCTGTGAAATGCCCAAAGTCAACTATTGCAGTCTGGAATCTGCACAACACACTTGGAAGAATTACCTGACCAAAAAACCTCTTTCAGATTTCTTTTGGAGGCTAATGACCATCTTAAAAAACAAGACTTTTCTCAAACCCTACCAACCCAAACTATTTTGCAAGGTGCAATAAAGGTGCCCTAGTCACAAGTCGTTATTAACCTAGACAATTAGTTGTAACTACTAAATAAAGTGATCACAGGTCATTGTTGCAATTTGGTCAGTCTTCTAAACCAGCTCTCACAAAGTTTAAGTGCCTAAAATACAAAGATAACTCTGAAATGGCAAAACTGTACCTTAATTACATGGTCATTTTATAAATTCTAAAGAATTAGACATTGAATACCCAAATGAATAGAATAAAACTGCTTAAAACATCTAAAATCGTGAACAAAGTCATCTTCTAAAGCAGGAAAAGTTGACAGAATATTTAAAAAACCTTTTATTTTTACTGTCAATCTAAAATTAACTTCTGGAAGCAGCATCACATTAACAAATAAATTTCTGAAACCAGAGATGGTAAGGAAATTCATAGCAATTTTCAAATATCATCTCTGGTTTAACTTGAGAACTTGTCAGTCAAAAAGTACAATTCAGATAGGATATTTTGCTAGCATAATTTTAATTTATTTCCTTTTAATTACTTAGTTGACCTACTTGCCTGCCTTGGGTGTAATTTTTTTTTTTTTCATGAAAAAATCCTCTTTCTTTGATAGTAAGATTCTGCACATTAGTTCAAACAGGATTTTAGGGATGGAGAAGACAAGCTGGGGTCCAGCTTTTTGCAAACAATGCAGAGAGTGGTTCTCAAAATGAGATATGGAATCCATTTTCATCCTGGATTGATATGTGGTCCTCAAATATCATCTACCTTCCTCTTTCATAAGAAGTATAAATAAGTCAGCAAAGAATGTCCAGCAAATATTGCTGGTCTTCACTAAGGCCAAATTTCATGCCAGTCTGTAACGGAGATTTGGTAAAGCAGTGGGTTGCTCTCCATCATGGCAGCATGGTTTTCTATCACCCGCTGGTTAGTTATTCATCAGAAGGATCACTCATAATCAGCTTATATCTCTTCTGTGGGGAGGTTTCCACTTTGGACTTTTAAACAGCACACATGGCAAGATTAAATAATAGCGAACCAGTACAGAGGAGAAACTGCAAAACAGGTTCACCTAGATGAAATCCCACATGCTTCTGGAAAATGCACGGACTTTTTTCCAAACTTCAGTTTAGAAGCAAATGGATTTTGAAGCATTTTAATACTGCTTTTTCTGTTGCATTTTATATGCATGGCTTTGTCCATGCATGTGAGGCTGCAGAAGGCCATGAGCGTAGAGGGCTGTGAAGCTGGAAGGCAGCATATGCGCACTGTATGGCACTCAAGAAAAAGTACAGCAGGCAAGACAAGGTCAACAGGCTGCGGAACAAACAACTGCTCTCTCTGGGCTTGCGAACCACCGTCGCGCCTGTGTGGATGCAAAACAAACACCAGCATTGCCTCATCCCACAAAACATTTTTTTTATAGTGGGACATTTCCTGTGGAAGCACAAGAGGAACCCATCAACTTGACGAAAGAGTTTCAATGCCAAAAAAAAGATTAAGAAACAAGAGCTAGGCAGTGACGAAGTCGTCTCCCCACCCAGTCTGTTTTACTGTAGAGGTGACTAAAAGACACTGGCCACGAACCAGCTCTGCAGATGTTATAGGGTGTCAGCTTCGGTGCCTTCAGGAAAAAAAGATGGCCTGCTGTTGTCACACATGTGTAAGAGAAGGACAGTAAAGAGCCCCGCTGGACTGAGCACCTGAACGTGGCTGCCAGCAAGGACTCAGGGCACACCCTGTCATCCAGCGTGCTCTAGAGCTGATTGTGTCAACAGGTTTATCGCTTAATGTGAGTCCTCTTTAGGATCCTCTGTCTGCTCAAACATATCAAAACCAAGTCCTGTCATCACCGTTTCACATTCCCCAGGCATTTTACCATCTCTGCTCCCTCTTTATTGGTTTCTTCCATCAACTTGTCAAGCGCATCAGCATCCCACTTGCTAGGACACACTTGGAGGAGGGAAACCAAATGCTCTCAAGTCCAGGACCCAAAACCTATTTTGCTTTCAAATGGGGATTTTTGGTTCAGTTGAACTTCAGCCAAGACATAGTTCTGTGGGACTAATCTGCTTTCTCATGCTCTCCCCTTTCACACACCGTCTTCACACATTTCACGTCCTACAGCTTTTTCAAAACAGTCCCAAATCCCGCAACAGAGCTGGACCGCAAATTAGTAGATCGTTTTTATTTGAAAGTGCTGCTCACTCAGCAAATGCACCTCTCTGAAGAAATGCAAATTGCTTAACGCTGAAGAACAGCCTCATAGGCAGAGCTGCACATGAAAAATGAAAATCCCCCTGTAGGGGAAAAAAAAAACCTTCTGGGTAAGGAATAACTCTTGATCTTCATGATGGAGACAATGTTGGGAATTAAAGGGAAATTATTAAAAAAAAACCAGAATCACAATAGAGTTTGATTCCATTTTTAATAACATGCATTTACCAATGTACTATCAGCTTGGCAAATATTCAAGATTGCAAGGAAATCCAACTTTCACTTTGTTATTTGGCAGATTAAAAAAACAATTAAATTATGTACAAAACAGATGCACAGTATGCCTTGCTTGAAACTTAAGATTTAAAAAAAAATATTTATAAGGATAGGGGCATGAAAATTTAATTTAATGTTCACCTTAGGTAATTTTGTGTCTTATTGTTCACAGCAATTACCATAAATCTACATATCAATAAGCGAGAACAGATGTCAGTTGTTACAAGTGCTTGCCAATCAGGCCTGTTAAAAAGTGACAGATGGATGGTGATAGAACATTCTCATAAGGCCTATTAGCACATTCGCAGGAAATTTTTGTAGTGCTGCACAGCCACAGATGCAGTTCTGTGAAAACACGGGGAAATCTGAGCGCACGAGATTTACATTTTACAACTTCTTGTGCTGCCTCCGACGCAAACTTTCATACAATGAAGCAATTTGCCTCATT